ATCAACATCATCATCACCATCATAGTTATAGAATGATCACCACCATCATCATCATCAGCTTCGTCTTAACTTTCTCCTCCATCATGGACATCATTATCAACAGCGTCGTCATCGTAATCGGCGGCATCTTCATATTCCACATCCTCCTCCTCATCATCATCATCATCGTCATCGTCATCACCCTCATCATCATCTTCATCAAGATCCTCGCCATCATGATGATAATAATTCTCAGCACCGTCAAAAGCAACATCATCATCATCATCAACATCCTCATCATAATCAGCAGGATAAACAGCACCAGCAGCAGCATCATCGTGGTCGGCGGCGCCGTCGTCAACTTCCTCATCGTCCTCATCATTATCATCGCCACCGCCACCATCAACAACACCACCATGATCACCATCATCACCTCCACCACCACCACCACCACCATCATCATCATACTCATCATCATCCTCAGTATCCTCATCATCACATCACCATCGTCATCACAATCATCACCATCGTTGGCATTGTCAAAATCATCCCACCTCGCCTCCTCTTCCTCCTCCTCCTCCTCCTCCTCCTCCTCTTCCTCCTCCTCCCCCTCCCCCTCCCCCTCCTCTTCTATCCTTCTCCTCGTGCGCCTCCACCTCCTCATCCACCGCGCGCCCACGCTCTCCCGCGCACCCCCGCGAGTACAGGAGCGCCTCGTCGTCGTAATTGACGTCGTCGCCACCGACGGCGACGATCGATGTCCAGTCAAAACTGGCCCCCCCCAACTCTGGAGCGGCGAAAATATCCACATCCGCGCTCTCGTGGTCAGGGATACTTTCGCCGACCACGAGAGCGCGGATGCGCGGAGGCACGGATGAGGCCCGCGCTGGGCATCCGTGACAAAACGCTCCGTATCCGTGGGGTCGCGGCCCAGGGGCCCGGCCCACGAGGCCGAAGATACGGATATGATTCTCGCCCACGACCCACGACGACGACGGACGACAGACGTCAGACGGCGCCATCGACGATCGACGACGACGACGACAACGACGTCGCCGTTGTAGCGACGACGACGGCGACGATCGAAGTCCGTTCACAATCGGTCCCCAGACCCCTCCTAAGTTGGGCAAGCTCTACACCCCGGATTGGTCTCTGACGGCCACGGGCCCCATGTCGGAGCGGCGGTCGAAGAACCCCTTCGAACATTGGCGACGACGATGACGACGACGGCGACGACGACGACGACAACGACGACGACGACGATGATCGCTGGCGTCGGGGCGTCGCGGAGGCGCAGGGTCGGGCGCGCTGAGGAGGGGGTTCGCGCATCAGAAAGAGCGCGTTCTGCGGTCGCTTGGAGGGGGGCGGGGGTTGGAACCAGACACCCCCCCTACTTCTCCTCTCTCCCTCTCCTCGAGCCGGCGCCTGCGTCGACGGCGGCCGGCGGCGGCGGCGGGGACGACGATTTCCTTTTCTGGGCCGGCGCCAGCGCCTGCGGCTGCGGGCGGCGGCAGCGTGGAGCGTGGACGAGGACGACGGTGGTGGTGGTGGTGGGTGGTGGTGGTGGTGGTGGTGGTGGCGGTGGTGGTGGTTGTGGTGGTGGTGGTGGTTTGTTGTGGTGGTGGTGGTGTTGCTTGGTGGTGGGTGGTGGTGTTGGTGGTGTGGTGGTGGTGGTGGTGGTGGTGGTGGTTTGGTGGTGTGTGGTGGTGGTGGTGGTGGTGTGGTGGTGGTGGTGGGTGGTGGTGGTGGTGTGTGGTGGTTGTGGTGGTGGTGTGTGGTGGTGGTGGGTGGTGTGGTGGTGGTGGTGGTGCTGCTGGTAATGGTGGTGGTTGTGGCGGTGGTGGTGCTGGTGTGGTAGATTGTGGTGGTGGTGGTGGTGGTAGTGGTGGTGGGTTTTTGTGGTGGTGGTGGTGAGTTGTGGTGGTGGTGGTGGTTGTGGTGGTGGTGGGTGTGGTGGTGGTGGTGGTGGTGGTGGTGGTGGTGGTGGTGGGTTGAGGCGGTGGTGGTGGCGGTAGTGGTGGTGGTGGTGGTAGTGGTGGTAATCGACGCTGCGTCCCCGCCGTCGCTGGCCGTCGCCGTCGCCGGCGCCGGTGCTGGCGCCAGGGTGGGGGGGTTTGAACCCCCCCCCCTGGCGCCTCTGGTCATCGTCGCTGCGTCCCCGCCGTCGGCGATGCTGGCGGCCGCCAGCGCCGGCGCTGGCGCTGGCGCCGGCGCCGAGGGGTGGGGTGAGGGGGTGGACCCCCCCCCCCCTTTGGAGGGGGTGGGGGGGTTTGGGAGGGGGGGTTGGGGGGGGAGGGGGGTCCCCCTGGTTTTGATGCTTTGATCGACGGCGCCAAATGTTGGGGGGGGGGCCAACCCCCCGTTCGAAACGCGCCGCCGAATGTTCCCATTGCAAGCGCCCGTGAAACGCGCGCTCTCTCGCGCATCATGACCCGCGGCATGTACGCGGACAAGGGGGTGCCCAAGATCGCACCGAAAGAAGAAGAGGGGGCTATGAAACTCGGGACACCTCAATGCACTGGCCATGATATCCACACACACAATATCCACACATGCACATGGAGACGAAGAGAGCAGGATGACGAGGAGAAGGAGGAGGAGGCATGATGAGAATTGCAGCGTACTGCTGATGCCATCGATATTAGGCACAACCCTGCCGATTCGACTCCGAAGGGTGTGGTTTGCAAAAGGTGTGGTTTGCAACCGGCACCCCAGGGGGCACCCTGGGGGGCGGGCGGGGACCTCGACAGAGCTCTCCGCCGCGCCCCGAGTAGGCCCGACGAGGATCGTGTCGTGCCCCCCCGGTCCCAACGGTGACGATCGCAAACCACACCCCAGCGTAACCACACCCTTTCGTAGTCGCCGAGCATGGGCTTTCGTGAGGGTGCTCGTGAAGGCTTGGTGAAGGCCGCTCATGAAGGTTGGGTGATCGTGAAGATGCTCGCAACGGACCTAAGACAGAAGACCACCTTTCAAGCACGTGAGACCCTCCGCGGGCCAAAGCGCCCCGAGCCAGAAGATCACTGGAGGGTAGCCTCCTCCCCCAGGATGCACAAGAACACCCAACAAACACGAAGAACATTAGGGTTCCCTCCCCGAGCCGACCTCGACCTTGTACCTCGGTCCGACTGTACTTCCATCCGCGGCCCCACGGTACATCGACAAAATGTGGCACCACCTGGTGCCCGCCGCGACATCAGACTTCGTCGTGCAATCGACGCTTCGTGCTCGCTCCCCCCCCCCCCCTCCTTCCAAGATGGGGGGAGGAGGGGCGGGGGAGAAGGGTTGAACGACATCTCCCGGGGGGGGGTGGGGGGGGCAGCGCTCCGTCCCGGATCCACGTGCGGTCGGCCCTGGGACCCCAGGACGGACCCGAGTGGTCGACATCGGGAAACAGAAGCTTGCTGTCCTGTCAGCGATGCCGTGAGGGCCTGAACGAGGGGCCATTTAGTTAGGCCCACGGTTGGGGGTCGCGCATTGTGAGCGACCTCCCTGAAGCAAACATGTGTCCAACGGTGTTCGTCGGGCATCGCGGCGGGCAGTCGGCACAGCCCAGGCCGCACGCGCGCAGATGGCGCAGGACACGGAGGCCAAAGGGTGAGCCTGCCAAGCTGCCGACATGGAACAAGAAGCATGCCGTCGGAGATCCAGGGTTGGGCGCCGCCCGTTGTCTTTTCCCAAAATGTTTGGGCAACGCCCCTGAAGACGGTGCATGGGAAGAGCCCCCGCGGTGCGCAGACCTCCTGAGACTTCGGTAGCATCTCATGTCTTGCAAACCGACGCAAATCTACGCTAACCGACGCTGAACCGACGCGAATCGACGCTCACCGACGCTGAATCGGCGCTATCTCATCGACTCCCAGACGCTAATCGACGCTGAAGACGGAATTAGGAGGGTACACCAGGCTGCCATGATTGCGAAGACCTTACGGCCGGCGCCGCCGACCCTGAAGGGGGACGACGACGGAGACAGCGACGATGAAAAGACTCCACAAGGTAAGGCATGGGAGGGAGGAGGCGACGGGGACGGACGCTGAAGACGGAATCAAGAGGGTACACCAGGCTCCCGTGACCTGCTGCTGCCGCATGAGGACGCCTCGGGGGGAAGGGCGCCTGCGAGGCGCCGCCGGCGCGGCCCAGCGCCCCGAGCAGCCGGGCGTGGCGCGCCGGGTCCTCTCTGGTCGCCGCCGCCCGCCGCCGCGGCCGCCGCGGCCGCCGCCGCCCACCGATCGATGCTCGATGCTCGACGCTCGACGGTCGGTCCTCCATCCTCGGGGATCGGGGATCGACGATCGATGGTCGGTCCTCCATCCTCGAGGACGGAGGATCGACAGTCGAGACGGTCGGTCCTCCATCCTCGAACCCTCCATCCTCGAAAATCCGCCGGCCACTGGTCCTGCGCGGCCACAGCGGCAGGTGGTCATCATTTTTGTCCAGAGCACCCCCCATGCTTTCCGACGTGGATCACGTGCGCGACCAACGCGCCGCCGCACATCCTGCTTCGATGATGCGCAAAGACGTACTAGTACTATATGTCATCCTTGGACGCGCGCGTCCGACCCGAACATATAGTATACCCATCTTGTAGTATATCGTTTCCCGAGCGGTGTGGCCAGAATGCGCCCGCCACAACGCATATACTATAAGATTCCTCGGTGCGCGCGTCGCCCCTGGGAGGGCGACGCACATATAGTATAAGTATGTTGGGGTGTTGCCGATCCTGCTTCGATGATGCCAGGCGCGCCCAACGCACGGCCTGGGCGTCCGTAAACCTCCGCTACGAAGCCAACCGTCCGAAGGGGGCCCGCGGTCCGGCCCCCCGGGGGCCTCAAAACCGGACCCGGGGCGGCAAGCTGGGGGCGGGAAGCTTACCCAGAGGGGGAAGGTGTGGGGAGCTCCTCCCCCTCCTCCCCCTCCTCCTCCTCCTCCTCCTCCTCCTCCTCCTCCTCCTCCTCCTCCTCCTCCTCCTCCTCCGCCTCCTCCTCCTCCTCCTCCTCCGCTGCGGACCGTGGATTCTGCTACAAATTGCAGGAGCAAAACACGGCGGGTGCCAGGGCTCCTCGAGGCTCCAGGGCCCCGCCTCCTTCCTCGAGGCTCCGCCGACCAGCGCGCGGTCTCTTCGGGAGAGCTCTGGGTCCGCGGAGTTGTTCCATGTCTTCTCTTGTAAACATACACCAGATATCCTCGATGACCCAGGGTCAGGGCATCTCTTGTACACCATTCACCATGTCTCCTCTTGTAGACGGGCGGATGTCAGGGATCCTCGATGCTCCAGGGTCCATCCTCCTTCCTCGAGGCTCCGCCGACTATCGGTCCTTGAGAACCTCGGCGCCGTCGAGCCTCTCGAGGGTCGAGGATCCACAGTCAAGGCCCCCGGGCCCCTCCCGGTGCCTCCTGCGGGGCGGGCCGACGTGGCCGCGGCCGGAGCCGTGTCGGCCCGCCGACCACCCTCGATCCCCGATCCTCGAGGGCCCCGCACCTCCTCTCGAGGCGACGGGGCAAACATCACGACGGAGAGCTCGTGGCCCCTCTTCGGCATCTGAGGACCCTCGCTGGGCCCCAGGGCAGCGAAAAGCAAGAGACGACAACAGCAAAAAACTCGAGGTGAGAAGCGGGTCCCCGGGGAAGCGGTGCAGCCCGCCGGGGAACCGTGCCGTCGAAGAAGCAAGACGAGGATCGAGGGTCGAGGATCGAGGGTCGAGGATCGAGGCTCGAAGGTGGAGGCCTGGGGTCGAGGATCGAGGGTCGAGGATCGACGTCTTCGGGCGTCTGGGAGCCCTCGTGGCCGCGGCCGGTCCGCGTCGAGGTGCTGGCCCGCGCGCTCTCCAGCACGGGTCCCGGGGGTCGACCGAGGCCGCCGCCGCGGCGGCCCTCGCCGTCGTCGCCAGCGGCCGCGAGGACGACGGCGTCGTCGTGGTCGGCGGCGGCGGCGGTCGTTGGCGGAGAGGAGGGAGGAGGAGATAGCACAGGAAGTACAAGCCGTGCGATCAGCACTATCAGTCTCTTCCTCCTCCTCCTCCTCCTCCTCCTCCTCCTCCTCCTCCTCCTCCTCCTCCTGTTCCTGTTCCTGTTCCTGTTCCTGTTCCTCCTCCTCCTCATCATCATCCTCCTCATCCTCCTCCTCCTGTGGCCCTGTGGTCGTGCAGCTCTCCTCCAAATGTGTTTGCCCATTCTGTGTGGGTCTTTGGCAGTGGATGTCAAAAAATCCTCCTCGCCCTTTGGTCCGACCCGATGCAGCGGCATTCGGGCCCCAGACCATGGCCGACTCCCCGGCTCCCCGACTGGCCGACCTCCCGACTCCCCGACTCCCGGATTCCCCGACTCCTCGACCGAGTCGGCTCCCCGACTCCCCCACTCCTCGGTTTGCAGACAAGCCGACTCTCCGACCGACCCCAGAGCCGTTTTCTGAATGTCCCGGGGCCCGACGAGGGCCCTAGGAGGCCGAGAAGGACCAAAAAAACGCCCGCCGCGATGCTTCCGCGGCGCGGTGTTTTCCATCCGCGGCCCCCGCTGTCCCGACCGCTCCCCCGGGGCGCAGTTTCGCCCCGGGCCCATGTCTGATGGCCCCGGGCCCCGAAAAGGGGCCCTGAGAGGCCGAGAACGAAAAAAAGTAAAATAGCATAAAATTATCCCGGCGAAGCAACCTAACAGCGATGTGTAGAAGCATATCTGAAAGCATTCCCCTTAAGATTCAGATGAAAATCCAGTTGTAGAATTCTGCTGTTCTCGCAGTCGTAGTCGCATTCGCGATGACAGTCGCAGCGGCAACGGCAGTCGCAGTCACAGCCTCAGCCTCAGCCTGCCTCAGCCTCAGCCTCAGCCTGCCTCAGCCTCAGCCTGCCTCAGCCTCAGCCTCAGCCTGCTTCAGCCTCAGCCTCAGTCTGCCTTCAGCCTCGGCCTCAGCCTCAGCCTGCCTCAGCCTCAGCCTGCATCAGCCTCAGCCTCAGCCTCAGCCTGCCTCAGCATCAGCCTGCTTCAGCCTCAGCCTCAGCCTGCCTCAGCCTCAGCCTCAGTCTGCTTCAGCCTCAGCCTCAGTCTGCCTTCAGCCTCGGCCTCAGCCTCAGCCTGCCTCAGCCTCATGCCTCGGCCGCAGCATCAGCCTGCCCAGCATTCAAAATGCGGCCCAGGAGCGGAGTTCTGGGAACTAGAAGAACACGAAGTGGCCTACAGTTGGCTCCGGGCATTCAAAATGTGCCCGGGAATGGAGTTCTGGGAACTCGAAGAGCACGAAGTGGCCTACAGTTGGCTCCGGGCATTCAAAATGTGGCCCGGGAATGGAGTTCTGGGAAATCGAAGAGCACGAAGTGGCCTACAGTTGGCTCCGGGCATCCAAAATGTGGCCCGGGAATGGAGTTCTGGGAAGTCGAAGAGCACGAAGTGGCCTACAGTTGGCTCCGGGCATTCAGAATGTGGCCCGGGAATGGAGTTCTGGGAGGTCGAAGAGCACGAAGTGTGTGACTGTTTGCGAAAAACAAATGCGGCGGCAGCCGCGCCGGGTCCCGCCCCGGGTCCCGCCCCGAC